TTTTTTCCGTTTTGGGTTTTTTTCCCCCCCCCCCCCCCCCCCCCCCAACGTCATTTTCTCTCTATAGGAAGTTGTCAGGTGAGTGTTTCTGATATGTGAAACGGAGCCTGTGCCTTTGCCTACCTTTTGTTATTATGCATGCCCTGATGGGTACACCTCCACCTCATGCTCTTAGAACCTCTCAGCTCCTGAACCCAAGTGGAGGTATGTCTATTTTATGTCAGCGAACATAAAACCTGAGGGCGACAATGTGCTGGAGCCCGGTGTGGTTTTGCATTCAGTGCTTGTGGTTACATGCAGTCACAGTGACAAATTGCTCTTTTTTCAACATCGCCTGCTAACAGCCTCTGTATTAACCTCACTATTAGCACTTACTTAGAGTGTTACACCCATTTTTCCCTCAGCCCTGGGTCTCCCCGGACCTCTTAGGGCTGATTAAAGGACGTTTGGGAAGCATTTAGAGGTGTAAAAGCTCATTGGTTCGAGTGAGGCAGAGTGGCTGGTGCGGGCCAGAGTCTATCTCTCTGATTGCTTCCATAATCACAGTATTTGCTCAACCTAAAGTTGCTTTAGTGCTAGCTTTGACACAGATGTCCGTGGCAACTGTAATTTCAACTCCTCGATGTACAGAAGAAGCCGTCCACTTCGTTGGAAGATTGCGATAAAGACATTCTACCTGCTCATAGTACATCATGATGAGTTAATAATAAAGCAGCACTGACAGGTGTGGGTTTTTTTATCCCTCTCATGATCAAAGGCAAGCACTCCGGAGAGCTCTGTCGTCTCCAGGCGAGAATATCCATTCCGTGCAGATGCTGAGGAGAGATGGCCTGTTTCAGGAGGAGAACGATACAGTACATGCACCGCCTATCCCCCGCTGCTTGCAGACTGCGGCGTTATCTGACAAAAAAGCGTATCTTCACACTCTCATTTTCATCTCACTTAGGGAATATGACATTGTAATATTTTCCAGGCCCTCTAGCAACTTCAATGGAAGCATCATCGAGCGTGCTCCTATTGATCCGTTTCACACCAGCTCATCTGGTTTTATTATCACTTGATCCGTCTGGATAGGAAAAAAAAAAAAAAATATCTGACCTGCTCTCAGCAACACTTGTGATCTTTGATTGACTACTCCGAAAATGCTCTTCATGATGCTTTCACTCAACTTAACATGTTCACCCCTCCTGGGTTTCTGTGGTGTTTTCACAGACGGATGACATTGCAGTGATCGCGCACAAGACCCAAAACCTCCCCAAGGAGAATGCAAAGAGGCAGCGATTGGTGGTCTTCACCCAGGGCAAGGACGACACCGTTGCGACTGTTGGTAGGTTTCTGCTTTTTTGTCCCCACTGGCCCCTTTTGGACATATTTACCCTTCACTTAAACCCTATATCTCCGAACTGCAGAGAGCCAAGCTTTAAATAGATGACTGGAGAGGCCAGAGTGTTATCAGTAATGTCTTTGAAGTGAAGCTCTGATATTGACGCCAGATGTTTAAAAAAAGACAAGAATGCTTGCTCTACATTCTGTCATTTCAGAGCATAAAAGAAGTGTGGGGGATGCAGAGAGCAGCCATTGATTTGTGAAGTACTTCTAACTTTGCCTTGAATACACTCCAGGCTGGTCCTCGGCAATTTTTAATGCTTCAACTCTAACATCCTGCCCTCTTTTTCTCTCTTTCCTGTGCCAAATGCTTGCAGAGTGACCTTTGTGAGAAGTGGACCGAGCTTGTTCACTGAAATCAATCCATTTCCTCTTAATACAGAATATATTTCGGACCAGAACTACGGCGATATTAAGTTAACTTATATACTTATAAACCAATAAGCTTCACAAGCCACCAAAATGAAGAATAAATTCTCCTCTTCCAGGGAGTTATGTTTACTACACACTAGAAGAAGAAACCAAAGATTTCTTTATATTTCTCAGGGTTTTAAGTGTGTAGAATCAGTGTGAAGGTCGGTGAACACCCTTTTAAAATGGAACTATTGACAAGAGAGAAGCAAGAATTACATTTAATATTAATAAAACTAAGATCTTACATTGAATGCTAACTTGGAGTGCAGTTTTGGGCAGTGAGAAAAGCGGTGGGTAGTTTCAGATAATAACTGCGAGCCTTTGCCTTTGTTCGGAGCCACAGGGTGTCTCTCCTCATTGCCCTTGTGGTTCAGTTCATTTTAGCAGAGCATGGAGAGAGCTGGCCTGTAGGTAACATATCAATCATCACTGGGGCCCACAGAAGGGTACAGTTACAAGAGAAACACAAGTGATTCAGAACCGCTCCTTCTGATGGGTCCAGAGTTTTTCAAGTTAAGATTATCGGAATATACCTTTAAATAGTGAACAGTTTCAACGTGTTTGTTTTACATCTAGTTGCTGTCAGCGTTGTTACATAGTGATGATCTAAAATGCATGTTTTTTGGTTTACTTTTTTCAGTTTAGTCTAAATCAGAAAATAGAAAGCGAAAAAGGCTTTTATGACTAAATGGGAATAAGCTGCTACATCAGTTAAATAGCCTGTAGTGCAGTGCTGTGGTAAATGTTGATCTTTTTTTGGTTTTGTTTTCTGGAGACAAGACTGGGAAGCAAAGGGATGCTTTTACTTGATGGACATGCATCCATCAAGTAACAGCTTGATGGATGCATGTCTTCTTGGTGCATGGGACACAACATCAGAAAAGCCTGTGATATTGTTGGCAAATGTCTTGCATGGCATTTGTTTAATTGGCTATTAATTCTTGCAGTCCAAGCAGTTCTTTGCGATATAAATGTTGTGGATGCTGATATTTTGAGGATGATAAATTTGTAGTTTGCTATGCAAAGCTCCTAATAATAGGGGAATAAAAATATTCCCCATGAACTATAAGGCTAATAATAAGTGTGTATTAGCCTTCTTTCAGCCAGCTGCTCAGCAACATGTGGGGGATGGGCAGCTTTATGTTGCTCGAGAAAACTACTCAAGTTCTTTTACTTAGGACTGTGAACCGTAGGGACAACATAATTTAAAGTTTTAGCGGTTTTAAACCAGAAGTTGAATTACACACAAATATATATTTGTTGTAAACATCTTAAGATCGACAAGCTTTATTGTCATTCTTCACATGCAGAGCATATAGATGAAAATGTTGCTTTGTGCAGACTTATAGCACAATACATAGAGGCTAAATATATATATATATATATATATATATATATATATATATATATATATATATATATATATATATATATATATATATATATATATATATATATTGCTATATATGTCTTCTGAACACTAAAGTTTCACTGTACCTACTGTAATGAGTTCTCATGTTATCAGCTTGGGAAAAAAAAAAAAATTTCCTCTACACCTGGGAGCCTCTGTGTTGTCTTTTAGCTGAAGATGCTGCATCTTTGGCCCAACTCAAAATGCTGTGGCAAGCAATCAGGACTTTTCTTTGCTGTGCTGTAAAAACAAAACCAAGCACGAGTACTCTTGTTTGTACTCACAACTTTTCTGCCATGAAATCATGCTGGCTGCAATGTCTTTTGAATCATGTATTAAAAAGACATGTCTGTAGCCTGTTCATTTTCTTCTAAAGTGAATGCAATGTTGCTCATACTTTATCAGTTAGTGTAGCTTCTTTCTACGTTGCAAAGGATGCATGAATGTTAATAAATTTGACCTTATGTTACGTGTCAGTGACAACCGTCAAGGTTACTTATCCAAACATAATGCTGAGATGATTTGCAGCCCAATTGATGAAAACCAATGTTTTTGAAAGTCCCTTTGAGAAAATCTGCGACATTTCTTCGTCTCGGATGTTTTATCAGTATCCCCTCGGATATTAATAATGTGTAAAGTAAAATTCTTTAGATAATTTATCTTTAATGATTCAGTCGGCTAGTAATTATAAGCATATAGTTAACAGTGCCTTGTGAGGTTTCTTCTTGCGTTGCAATCACAGCAGTACTGCTAATTTCTTTTTTTTTTTTTTTCAAAACAAGAGTCCAGAATGTGAAGTTGGAAAGAAACTTTAACATTTCGCCAATTTTCACAAGTGTGTTGTGCATTATTATTTGGTCTCCTGAAAGTGATACCCCTAAATAAAAGCGAGTGGAAGGAAAGTCATTTATTTAACTAATAGGAATGAAAAACTTTGAAAAAGGTGCCGGTGGCAGCATGCTATGTGAACGCAAACACATGCCACTCTTTCCAGATCGTGAGTTTTGTTACCCTTCTCAAATATGCACTACTTTGTGTTGGTCTACCATATAAGATCCAAATGAAGTACACAGAAGTTTGTGATCGTAATGTGGCGAAATGATAAAAAGATTAAGTAGGCATGATATTCCTGTTAGTCGCTGTGGTTCATAAATTGCACTTAATTTATCTGAGAGGAACACGCGCAACACCCATTGTTTAGTGTTGTGTCATCTGCCTAATATTACACTCACTGGTCACACAACCACACTCTCAAGTACTCCTGATATAGTAGCTGTGACATGCAACAAAAAATGTCAGCGGCGTATCCTGATGCAGTAACACTCATCAGCTGTCTTGTAGCAGCTGGTTCGAGCACTTAGAGGGAAAACAATGGACGCCGATGTTGTCATTATGCAAATATGCTGCTGCTGCTGCTGCTGCTGCTTTGTTTGGGGCTATAAATAAGTGGTGAAAACAAACCAGCTTTTTTGGGGGGAGTGTTGCTGGCTGAGTGCCACCAGAGTTCCCCACTGGATGTGGCTTATCAACGAAACAAATTAATGTTCTTAAGTTGTAACGATCAAAATTTGAAAAGGCTAATAAGTTGGTTAAAGTTTCAAAATCACAATATGGGCTGCAATTTTCATCTGCAAATCACAGTTCTTTCTGTGAGTACTGTGGTTTGCACAGGGCCTTGGAAAAGACGCCTCAAAGCTGTTTTTAAAGTTGAAATCCCCTGGTTTCGAACCAGATGTTTAAACGGTCCAGTTAAAGTGCAGATCTACACCTAATGGAGTGTCAAAGACTGTACTGTTCACGGATGCTCTCTCGCCAGTCTGATTGAGCTTAAGCAGTTTTGCAATTAAATATACGCAAAACTGTCAGTCACGGGTGTGCAAAACTGCAAAAGACATCCCTTCAGAGACTTGCAATTATAATTGTCTCAGCACACCACACTTTTCAGATTGTTATTCATTCAACAAAACCAAAAAAACGTTAATTGAAAATTAACTACAGTTTTCCTTCATCTTTAAAGGCATGTACTACTTTTAAAATCCACATACAGTTCAGTTTGTGGTTGCAACGAGACCATTTTTGGCTAGATTAAATGGTAATAAGCACTTACAAGACAATGTAAATCCATGTCTAGTCAATAAATGATGATACAGATTCTTTTCCTGGCCATAAATTATTCTGCATATAAATAAGTAACAAGCCAATAACAATTTAAATATTGATATCTAAAGTGAAGTTCTTAGAAGGGAATTTACTTTCAGAGGGGAATTTTACAAGAAGCCTTTTTATCGACGGGCCTGAGGGTTAAAAAGGAATAAGGATCCATCGTTTGTGCTGGAGGTGATGGATAATTCCTGCTGCTCCCCTCATTGCTCCCGCACGAAGACACAGCCGCGCGCCGCGGTGAACTTTATATAAAATACATGATGAATGCTGGCTGGATGAAAGACAATGTGTTTCAGATGTCATCTACAAAGGCAAACATGATAAATGTCATTGACTGTGCCTTCATTGCGGTGGAGCTGTTACAGCTGTCGTAGGTGCAACACGAGCGGTTTGTGTGCGTTTGTCGGCGTGCGATCCGTACCAGCCAAATAAATGTCAATGTAAAAAGAGAATTAAAGATTTTCATTTCCCAGAGGCGGCACTCTAATAAACTTGATCTCTCATTTTGTTTGCAATTTGTCCTCCTGTCAGCATTTGATCATTTGCCAGCCTCTGTGTGTCATGTTAAACCATTTTATAAACCATTTTATAGTGATTAAGGGTGGGAGAATGCCTTTCCCTGTGGTATAATTCTCCAAAAAGAGATGTCAATTTGTTATTCTTTTTTCCAGCCCTTTATTCAGAGCTTTTTAACACAAAACCGTTTCGAATGTGACGCTCAAGAGCCAGGAGCAAGTTCAAATGGCTCTTTTTTTTTCCTTTTTTTTTTAGCTGCCTCTGACACTGCTGAATTACACCAGGCCTTTTGCTTATACATTATTGCGGTAATTACGATCGCCACACTCTGAACCTTAACAGGGAGGAGATCTTATAAACCATCATTCAGCAGGGGTTGCCACTGTAATCGCTGATAAGGACTTGATAAAGCCTGACTCGGCTCCTCTGAGAGTTTT